TATTGGATCAGAAGCTACCTCTTATAGTTATATAAAGATTATTATTAAGATTTATCTTATTATTAATATAAAAATAAACTTATTTATTAGCATAGAGATTATTAACTGTAAAGAGATTATTATTAATTTTAATAATTATTTTAATATTATTTATTTTTATAAGAATTTTATTTTTACTATTAACTGTAAGCTGAAATTAAACTATTATATTTTACTAGTTTTAATATATTTTATTAGATAAATTATTATACCAGGATATTTATATAGTAAAATATTAATTAAAATTAAATTATCTCTATTTAATTATAATCTTATATTTAAACTAGTTAATAAATCTAATCTATCTTATTTAATATATTATATATACTTAATTAACATAAACTTCTTATTTATTAAAGTTATTAATAAAATATCTAAATTTATTATCATTGCCAGATATATACAACTTAATAAAATATCTGATTTTAATTATATTATTATTTATTATATTAATTATAAAGCTACTAAATTAGTATATATAATTATTATTAATAAAATTTATAATATTATTATATTAACCACTACATCAGGCAATATTTTAATTAATTCTAAAAATAAGATTTCTAATATTATTATATTTCTTAATATTATTATTTATAGTAAGAACTCTACTGTTATCTATTATATATATAAAATAATAGAATATTTTAATATATAAATTAATAATAATATCTCTAATATCAGAGTCACTAATATATCCGAGGAAGAATGGTTAGAAGTATTTATAAAAAATAATTAAAAAAACTATATTTTAAAGCTATATATATACTATATTAGTAAATATAATTAAAATATTATTAATCAGATATTCAATCTCCTATATATTCAAGATAAAATAAAATATATTATTAATTATATACTTACCGGCTACCCTGTATTTATTATCTAATATAATTTATAAATAATTAATAGCCTGAAGTAAAAAGAATATATTATTATTAATTTATATAAAGCTAATAAAGAGACTAAATCTAATATTTATCTTATTTTTATAATTAATAATATTATTATATTAGTCTAATAGAAATACTTTATTTCTATTATTAATACTTACCAGATATTTTATTAATAGCCTGTCTAATAAGACTATTATTATTATTTTATTATTATTAGCTATCATAGTTAAGAAATCTTTAATATTATAATTATAGATTTTATTAACTCAGTATCCTATATACAGTAGTAAATAAATATTATTCTAAAAAAGTTTAAAGTCTTCTGCTAAATATATATTAATAATATATTTATTATATTAGAAATATTTAATAATTATCTCTACTACTTAAAGCTTATATTTACAGAACTAGAAGTCTTAAATATTAAGATTTTATTAAAAAAAATTTTTATTATTTTCCTGTCAGTCAGGCTGCTGGATTAATATATAAATATTTTAAATTTATATATATCTAAAAATAAGATTAAGATTATCTAATCTCTAAAATTTCCAGATATTTTTAAGAGTTTTAAATATTATATTAATTTTATTAACTGGTTTTATAATTATATTTCTTATTATATTAGTAAGATAGAATCTTTATAAATATATAAAATAATAATATTTAAAAATATATTTAAGAATACATCCGGCTATCTTGATAAAGATTATTTTATTATAAATATTTTTTATAATAATTTTATTAATATTAAATATTAAATATTTAATATTTTGCAAGTGGAATTTATACAGGAAAAATTTCTTATATATTATAATTATTTTATTTAACTATATATAGATTTAAATATTTCTAGAAAAGATTATAAAATTATACTTTACTATATTAAGAAAAATTATATTTATTTTAATATTATTACTTTATTTATATATATAGTTATTTAACTAATATTATTCTTAAACAGGATTCTTATCTTTATAAAACAAAGATATTAGCTTATAAAGTTAAAAATCTTATATTTTATATAGATTTTATATAAGATATAATATCTTATTAAAAATATAGTACTACTAGTTATTATTTATATAAATTACTAAATAACTATTAATATTATTATATAATCTTTATTAAATATTATATTTATAGATAAATTAAATTTTTATTTTATATATATCTTATATTATATATAATAATTTCACCTGCGTGTAATTTACTGATTTAATAAAATAAATATTATTATTAATATATTATTATATCTACCTGTATCTGATAATAAAGTAATTAATAATAATATTAATTTTAATAATTTTATTTTTACAGTTACTAATATTTCTAGTTTTAGATATTATATCTATTAAATAAATATTATTATTTATACAGAATCTATTATATTACTTATTAATAAGTTTAAGAATTATCTATATAATACCTATAAGAATAATCTTTAAGTATAATAAATATTTAATATTTTATATTCAGATAAGGATACTAAGTTATCTTATTATATTAATAATAAAGATATTTTTTATATAATAAAATAATATATTAGTAACAGTTATATTTATAATAATTCTTAGATTTATCTTTCCTGTTTATTAGTTAAAGAATTCTTTAAAATAATTTATAATAAACATAGTTATCAAGATCTTAATAAATATTTTAATATTTTAAATAATATTATTATATACAAAGATTATAAGTTTTTATATAAGTATATTACTAAATATCTAATATACTTGATTAATAAATTATATTATTATCTTTTATATAAATAATTTTAATTAATTATTATACCGCCTGAGCTGTTTTATATTATTATATTTAATTTTATTATTATTTTATTTAAAATAGAATAAGACTATAACCAGCTTATAATTATTATTAATAAATTTATTAAATAAGTAAATCTTATACCTGGCTGATTAAATTAAGAAATATAAAATTAAGATATTATTTTACTTATTTATTTATAAGATTATAATTAGGATCTTTTATATATTTTTATATTAGATAAAGATCTATATTTTATATCAGATCTTTAAAAGAGCTTTTTTATTAAGCTAGATATTTTATAATATTATTTTATAGTATACTATCTGCAGACTAATAGTTAAATTAAATATATAATACAAATTATCAAGATTATAATATGTTATATTATTATATAAGATCTTTAGTAACTTTCTCAACTTCTAATTATTATATTTATTTTAAATATATTATTTAATACTTTTATAAAGCAGATATTATCCTGTTTTTTATTCAGTATAAATCTATATTAATTATAGAATCTACTTAAGAATATCCCTGTTTTATATAATTATATTAAATTATAATTTAATATTAAAGAAATATTTAAGTATATAATTATATAAATAAAATTATACTACAACAAAGAACACAAGCTGATGATATTTAATTTTAAAGATAAAATATTTATTAAATTATATAAAAATTATATTATATCTATATTTAAAATATTTAGTAAAAAGTTTAGTTAATAATATACTAACTTCTATAAAATTATCAAATATATCAGATATTATATTTATAAATTATATTTATCTTTTATATTTAAGATTTATAATATCTTTTTTATCACGCAGCTAGAACTTTATATATAATATAATAATAATAAATTATCTGATTCTTTTAACTGTATTATACAACTACCAGAATTAATCTATTTTAATTAATATAAAATTAATTATATTCTTAACAAACATTATATCCGACATGGTTGTAAATCTTAATTTAATTAATATCTAATTTACTACCTCAGACATGAAGCGGATTATAATAAATAAATTAAGAAGAATAATATAGAAACTCTGAAATTAATATAAGAATATAAGAAATATCAGATATTTCAGAATATTTAATTATCTCCAGTATTGTTTAGTAACAAGAATATTATTTTCTTATATTTCTAGTAAAATATTATATAATTTGTTTACTTCTTTTTAGTTAGTATAGCTTAATTATTATAATATATATTATCTAGAGGCACCTCCTAGAGGGACTTCTCTGCTTCTGACATAATCAACATAATCACGATCCAACAAGCTCATGTAGTCTGCTACACCGGTATATTAAATGACTAAGTAGTACTGAGTAAGGTGGTGACTAACTATTCACATATCATCCAGACCTGACTAACCAGATAGATAGGTAGATAGACAGATAGCATACTGAGTACTTCATGTTCCCCTGACGACTTCCCTCCGTCCATTAGTACTTTAGTCTACATCCCCTCACCAGTCAACCCCCCACCCCTATCCTGGGGGCCATAAAGGAAGGACCAACGGAAATCCACGACCAATCTCCAGTGTCCCAGTCCAAGGGGGGGGGAAAGGTAAGTAAGTAGCTTCTCGGCATGCGAACTAGTAGATCTAGTGCCCGTACTACGGTCCCGGGGAGGCCGGGGAAAGAAATTAGCGTAGTACTTGGCATGGCGAATTCACGACCCTAATGGTGCACCTTGGATGGGCCACTTAATCAATCTATATTGCTTGAATATATTAACCTGCATCGTTTAGGAATTATGATTGACAGCTAACAGATTTGTTGGGAATTTACTAAATAATACTAGAAAACTAACTTGGTAATTAATTACTTAAGTGCTAAATGCATAAGCGAGATTCTTCTTGCTGATTGGCACGACTATATACCTCTTTGGGAAGGTTAGGTACGTGGAGGTCTTACAATGTAGTAATTCGTGTCGGGGTTGAGGTTGAGATGAGGTGCCTGATTAATTAATGAACAGAGGACTAAGTTAGTTTGGTACTTTGTACTTTGGATGGATTTTTGCTCCACTCAATCTTCTGGGTGTGTGTTTTTTTGGGTCGGGGAGGATGGAGGAGATGGGTGGTCTGGCTGTCTGGCCCAGACCTTCCTTTGGATGACTGACTCTCTCCACATTACGCACTTGCTCTCCCTCTATATTACCTGTCCCAGGGGGCACTAATCGGATATTCGTCCTCCGATACGAGTTATCCTGGGATTTATGCAACCAGTCATTGACTTAACCTCCAAGTCTATAGACTGAAACTAATCAGGAGTCGGGTCATGCTTGAGGCAGTACGTGGATTCCACACGTTGGCTGACACACGGATTCCCCCTGCGTCGATCCTGGAAATTACGAACAATAACAACATTCAGAGAAAGGAACTTCAAGTTGGGTTCTGGATCGTGATTCTGCTGGCTGTGGGTATGGTTACCCCTCCTTGTGACAAGTTGTCGGGTCAACTTCCTGCTGGTCTGTTCCTGGCCCTGTCTCTGCTGTCGCCAGTGGAGCTGTCACGAATCATGAATTCTTGGGATGTACCGCCATTGCCGTCTGCTAATATCCATAGCATCCTTCCGATCGCTCTGTTCCTTCGACGAACCTGGTGTCATGTCGATCTGGGATGGCTTACATGGCTTCGCACTTTCTGCAGCTAAGGTCGATATCTGCAAGCCGCTCAGTAAGCCATCGGTGCCAGACAAGGGGGGAGGGGACTGGACGAGAGAATGGCCTTGTACTCGGGGATCCTTTCGGCGACCATCGCTCTTCATGCATGGCAGAAGACCCCGCGATTCACTCATGTCGTCTAAACACCCAGCAGGAGTCGTATGCACAGACCAGACATGAGCCAATAACTCCTCACTGACCCCCTCTCATCCTAGCAAACTTGTGTCGATCAGTGTCGACGAACCTGGTCATCATCTGACAACTAGCTTTCCCCTCGGTGTTACCCAGTCAGGATATGTCGAAAATCGAGTCCCTGGCTTGGGAGGTCGGGCAGAGAGAGGGAGAAAGAGAGACACGACGTGTTACTTCCCCTCGCAGTCACGGAAAGTTTACGCAGATGTGAATGATTGATTGATCATTGTTTGTCTTGGGGTGTAACCTGCACACGCGAAACCCATGTAACACTCGCCATGCAGACAAGTTGCACCTGGAAGCTAATCAAGGTTTTATTATTACTCACTTATCCGGCTGAAGGAGCCAATGAACTTGGTGAATAGCTACTCGGATTTTCACCTGCTTCACTCGAGGTTACACGGAAGAGGGGTTGGACTGCCTTGGATAGAGAGGGGAATGGATGCTGTTGGACATCACAACTGACTACCTATCTGGGCGGATGTCATCTACATACTACTTTCATCAGGTCCTTCCGGATTCTGCTTGGAGTCATGCAGAGGAGGGACCGATCCCTGCGACCCATGATCATCCACGGACATGGCAGCCACTTGACGGTTGCACCATACCCTTGGGGACTTTGTTGTCGATCACGGTGAATCCATGGATGGATGCATGGTTACCATACCAAACTGTAGATACCGCGTATCCGGCAAGACCAGAACTGGCTCAAATTTGAGCGCAAAGACACTCGCTCACTCGGAGATCCGGGTAATAATCAATTTGAATCGACACTAAACCAGATCCCGCGGGACAAGATCTTGGGTCAGTCGCTGATCAAATGCACTGACTTAATAGTCGCTCGGGGCATTCGCCAGATTAGGTTCCGACCGGGCATGTCTTCCTGAAGTGGTCGACTACAGGCCTGGCAGTCTGCGCGATGCAATCCATCATACTGCTTAATCCCCACCACAAACTTGTGTTGTCTTAGTTGGAGTTCTAGCCCTCTCCTGCTCCAGTAGGTCGGAAGCCTTCTCCGGATTCAGGAGGTCCTGCGACATAGGCGCGAGGAAGCAATTCATTTTTTTTTTTTCCAGGTCCGGACCCTTGAGTCGACGACTGCTTCCCACCCACTCCAGCAGAGATAGTGGCCCCCATTCTGGCTCGCACTTCTGTTCCGCTACTACGGTTAGGGAGGGTCCTTACTTTTGACGGTCATTGGATGCTCCGCATTCGTTCCGAGACAAGCCATTTTTTCATTCATTCCTCTCTGATTTGCGCACCCCTGCTTAGGGTGATGCATTTTCGGTCAATCACGATGCGCAATGAAGATACGGGATTGGTACATCACATGTATCCATCATGAGCTGCCTATCATGTCTTCCTATTATGCCTTATTCTCTCTATGCATCGTGTAGGTAGGTACCTGCCTCCTCCAGGTGGCAGAGCGAGATCGGAAAGACCTGAGGGGTTGCCCACCACACAGTACTACGTAGAACGGCTACCCCCCGCATGAGAATGAGCGGCAATGATCAGCGCATTGTGCCCATTAGGGCTCGACAGGACTGCGACTCAGCACTCTGATACCCACAAACATGACTCGGCATGTCAACCTGCATGCAGCTATTTACTATACCATACCGAGTCCACTGAAAGAAAAACAAAACAGAAGAAAAAAAAAAAAAAAAACAGGACCGTCCTGACGGTCCCCGAGATGGACCCCGTGTGCCTGACGCCCGATGAGAATGTGGCTGGGGCACACGATGGGCCCGAGCTAAATGGGTGAATTGCAACCTGCTTTGGAATAGTCCATGTGGCTAAGCCCATGGTCTATGATGCGATTTGCCCCGTTCACAAGCCTATGACAGCAAGCATGGGCGCCTTCAAACCCCGAGACTCTGGCACCAAAGAATTTTTTCTTTTTAGCGCCGAGTGCACATGAGGCGGTGTCACCCGCCGCCGTGTCTAGTGTGTGGGTGTGCACAGTCTTTGACGGAAACTCGGGACGGTCGTGATAAAGCACAGAGATCTGCAGCGCCGCGCCCCAGACGTCAAGCAATAGTGTCGGCATGTCCGATGAATAATGTCTCTCCTGAAGCAAGTGCCTTGCGGGACTAAAACTGCATATATCATAACGGACTTGCCTTATCCGACTGAATAAGGTAGTAGTCTAGTCGCTTCGATTGATGATGCATGGATCTGCTCCTCCGGAAGCACTTACCCCGTTACAAAGCAGACACTTCAACTGCTTTAGTTGTCTCCCACCTATGACAGTGCGTTGAAAATTTTTCCAGTAGTCGGGGGCGCGATCTTCATCGCCCAGTCCAGGCCTTGCCCGACAGTTGGAGACATCGTGGCATCCCCTCTCCCCCTTACCTAGACGACTACCGTCCCCCTTACGACAGGAGGCAGAACAGAATAAATCCTAAGGCAAAGAAAGAAATTGAATAGTAGCGGTTACGACGGGAGGACACCCGGAAGCTAATTCCCCAACATGCCTATCCCTAATTGAAACAACGGATAGACCCCCAAAGGTACCACCATCAAACTTATGGGACCCCGACTACGTAGTTACGGAAGGATCACCAACCTTTTGACATTATCCGTACTAGAAAACATTCTGGGTCTGGGGCCGTATTTTGCCACAATGGATCCGGTGGATGCTGTCTATTGAACATAGTTGCGGAGGAGAGTTTCCGTTAACGATGCCTATTTTTCTTGTCAGTTAGTTGGAGTTAAGGGAAACCTTCTCCGCCATGCAGCTGTCAAAACAAGCCACGAGGCTAGGCAAGTCGTCTAGACTGGTAGCTCAGCTGAAAAGGATAGTCGTTTAAGATAGATAGTAAACAATGAAACGAATCGTTTAGACGATACATTAGGAGGAGCTAAGTGAGGACACGTACAAAGTACGATACTACGGTAGAAGCGAGATTACTTACTCCCACCGCGCATACTATTTACTCAGTAGTAAGTAAGGAACTAGTTGCCTTCACAATAGACATAACTACAACGCGTTAGCATAGTACATCATCAACTAAGTTCTAGAAAATAGTATATACTTTCTACTCCGTACACCGAAGAGACAATCGCAATAATAAAACTAACGGCATTCATACTTAAATATAACAAACCCCCGATTGACTCAATCGTAGAATTAACTAACTAGTATCCCTTGATTCATTCCCTTTAAAACTCACCGATATACATATATATATGCACATGTATGGTTGCCGCTATACCCGCAGAAGAAGAACAGGAAGAAAAAGGCATCTATTTGCCAAGTGTTACATCCGCAAGGGCAACACAGGAACAACTAAGAATAGAATATCGGATAATTTCTGACTTGATCCTTGTTGCCTTTATTTGCCTTCACGACATGAATAAAGAATAGTCAATGTAATTACTCTCGGTTATGTGGTCCATATCCCGAACATTACTTGAGTAATTATCTAGCTAGGTTAGTTAACTAACTAATTAGTTAGCTGGATAATGACGATGGAAACCCCCCGCCCGAGAGGCGAATTTGGATGTAACCCATCCAAGATACTCCGTGAGTGACTCGACGCGAAACGAAGGATGAAAGGATGGAGATTCAAATCCCTAGATCTGTTTACTCTAAGTAGGATGTCGTCTAAGATCTACTGGTTGCATTGTGGTTGGTAGTGTATAACTTGATGATGGTGTAGATATATTATGTGGCGATATAGTTATAATGGGACTAGTGGATATGATTTGATTGATTGAATGACGAATTGGGTAAGTAACTGAGTCATGGATGGGATGGTGTACCTACAGGAGGGGATGGGATACCAACTAACTAGGTATCTCGGTCTCAGATACCAAATAGGTAGGTAGGTACATTGTCGGGCACTTGAAGCATGTAGGTACAGTACGTAGTAGGAGATAGTAATAGCATATCAGAAGTAGTAGTAGTTACATATTTTACTCACATGCACGAAATCGCGATCGAAATAAACGGCGAACACCGATAACGGGGAGTACTTACTAGTATCACCGAATTCATCCCCCTGAATATCATCATATGTGTACAGTAGTATCTGTCTATGTATCTATTACTCCGGAGATAGTAGGAAATAGACAAGCGATAAATACTGTAGTAACTAACTAGATAGATAGACCGACAGAAACAATACTAGTAAAATAGTGAGTAGTAGTTACCATTCCCACGGATAGATGTGACTGATGAATATCCATCCATCTCGGCCCGACCATGAAAAACAACAAGAACAAACAATCAATCAAACAAACAATAGATGAATAAAAAACACCCATACTGTGTACGTGATTGGCCAGTTCGTATAAGACAGTCACTAGTAATAGTAGTAGCTATTCCTTCCAGTAATATTATTGACGATTTACGTATTCACCTATTACTTACCTACAAAGTAGTAACCAGTAATAGAGAGTAGTAAGTAAATAGCTATCGTCATAAGGGAACGGAATTAACGTACGAATCCAAGTTAGGGAATAGGGAATCCCCCCAAGGAAAGGGAGACTAAACCCATTCGGGGAGGTGGACATGGAAAGAGGCTGGCTGAACCTGAACAACAAAAAAACAAACCGAGCCCATGTTTTTTGTCTCCTTCCCCGTAATTTATGCCCGAAAAGGGCAGGTATTGACACCGGCATCCATCCCAGCACCCATTTTTTTCTTTCCCGCCAGTCCATTCCATTCCAGTGAACCGGAAACTAGGAGGGAGACGGGGAGGAAATTAGGCAGTTAGTTTTTGCACCGGGGTTGGGTTTAGTTTAGTTTCGTTTAGTTTGTCAGTTAGTTGATTTTCCTGGGATAGGGGAATACTAGGAGTACCAGACACTTACCACCTACCTGGACAGGATAGGAGGCGGTGCTACTGCTGCTGCTGCTATGATGCTAATCGGTTAGTCCGGTTGGCTGGGTTGGTATTCGGAAGTATCGGATTTAAACCTAACCTGACTGACTGGTTGACTTGACGGACCTGCAGATGGGGTTAACTTTGTTACTGGTTACGTTGTGAACTTTACTTTTACACTGATGTTTATCGAGGTTAGTTTGTGAATGAAATGTGTACAATTAGCAGTAGACAGATGGATGGATACACGAATAATGGTGTGGATGGATACTGAATCCTCAATAACAAACAGCTGCCTCCCCACCAATTGTCGTCATTCCGAACAGACAAGGTATCCATTCCCTCAGGATGCCTTGCAGCAATCAGGCTCGCATTAGTTGCTTCTGCAGGTTGCCCGGTTTTTGCCACTTGTCGTCACAGTCGCTTTTCTGCTCTGTGCTGTGTGGTGCAGCTAGTCTAGCTCCCCGGGATTTGAATGTCTGTTTGGCTTCTTATCACTGTGCAGATTAATGTTGGTTTAGTGCAGATATTGCTGGTCATGTGAATCTCCTCCCTGTACTCTGTAGTTAGTATAGTGTCTATCCATGTTTGATATGGGCAACACCAAGATGGACATATTCTGTCCTAGTTAGTTAGCTATGTAGCTGGCTATTCAACTTCGAAGGAGGTCTAAATACACTCTTGAATTAGCTATGAACCATGGTTGTTTCACAGCTCAACCATGGATCCCATAAAGAACCATTGTATACCCGATGCGGCAACAATAAAGAACGACCCCCAGATAAAAGAATCATGAAACCACCATACCCCGGTCACTTCTCTACATTAGAGTACTGAAGAAAGAAAACAAGAAATGCCATGAAATGTCCAAGACATCACTTTATACCCCCTGTCTCATCTCGCTGATCCTCACCACCCTCTTCCTCTCCACCATCACCATACTCCTCCTTACACCACCCACTTTTCTCCCACATATCATCCCCCCAATATGTCCCTCACAGTCCCCAACCTTACCAGACCAGACTCACGGTCGAGCCTTCAACGAGCGCCCTGAACTCGAACGAACAGTCAACGACTCGGACGAAGTCCAGACATGGGAATCCATCCTCCTCCCGCCCGGTGGCGGAGGCATCCTATCTCATACAATCCCCGACAGCATCCATCTCACCGCTGAAGAGAAGAAAGAGAAGATACTGCTCAGTTGGGGGATATCAATGTTCCATCAACTGCACTGTCTGATTGTGCTGCGGGCGATTGTCTTCCCCGAGACGACAGAGAACAAAATCAACTCAACCAGTCAGGCGCATTCGGGCAACATGATGCATGACAAGGTACATTGGGCGCATTGCTTTGACTATATTGCTCAGGTGGGGTTTCGTTCATTGTACTTGTCTACCCCTCTGCTTCGCTCAAATCTGACCATGATAGGGCATCCTCTGTGCTGCAGATGACACGATCGAACGGCCCCGGAAAACCAAGGACTGGCGCGGTAAGACCATCTTCGACATCGATGGAGTGGGCGCGGTGCATCAGTGTCGAGATGCAAGGGTACTGTGGCAGGCGTCAGTGAAGTCGATGGAGGAGCCGGTGGATATGCAGGGCTGGAGGGAGGGAATGGGCGTGCGGGCGTTCTTGGGCGAGAGAAAAATGGGGGACGATGAGGAGGTGCCGGAGTTGTATAGCTTGGGTATGGAGTAGTACGTTCAACTTGCTGTGATGATAGATGTTGTATCCAAGGATGTTTGTTGCTCAGCTGAGACAGGCGCAAGTCACTTGACCCCAGCCAGGCCATCAACTCCGCACTTCCCCACTCTTGCGCTTTCTTTCTCCATCTTCTTCCCTGCTGTTCATCCATTCAGGCTTTGTTCTGAGCCTGTGGATGTGTTCCCACTTGCCTTTCCCACTTCCCGAGGCAGATAATATAGATGTCATCGCTCAGACAATGGCTGCAATTCGGCAAATGCCAGTCCTTCTACCACTCGATTTTGGACAAATGCCAGGCAGTTGTCGGTCGCGTTCAAACCCATGAAGCAGTTCCCACACCAATCACCTCATACCTCTCTATATACTCGAATGATGCGTCGATAGTGATGCGTCCCGAATGTGGGGGAACGGCAGTGGGGATGCGGGGATCTCTATGGACACCATCCGCTGCTTTATATAAACTGCTAGCAGACCACCAGATACTACCAAATACTCAGACCCTAGACCTCGTTCAAATCAAACATCATGACTACCACTGAAGAGAAAATTCGTGCTACCTTTCCCGACCTCGAATGGTTCCCCCTCACACCACCGGCGGAGCATCCTGCCTACAATTATCAAGGCTTCCACCCAGGCAAGAAGACAGTCCTTTCCGCAGGACATGTGCGATCTCCAGGCCATCGCGCATTCCACACAGACGTGCTCTTCGAGCAGGATATAGCCATTACCCTCCGCGACGGCATCAAGATATACACCGATATCTTTCGTCCTGTCGACTCCGACGCCAGCCCCGTCCCAGCCATCATCCCATGGAGTCCCTATGGCAAGACAGGCACCGGTCCGCAGAGCTACGACAGCATGGCGCCATTCCGCGCTGGGCTCGAGAAGAGCCGGACCTCAGGTTATGAGAAGTTCGAAGCCCCCGATCCCGCCGAATGGGTGCCTCGCGGCTACGCCATCATCAACATCGACGCCCGCGGCGCCGGCAACTCCGAAGGCAACATCACCTTCTGGGGCCAACAAGAAGCCGAAGACATCTATGACACGATCGACTGGTTGTCCAAACAACCCTGGTGCAATGGCTCCGTCGGGATGGCAGGCAACTCATGGCTCTCCATCGCACAGGTCAACTTCGCCTCGCGACTCGAGCATCCTGCCCTCAAAGCCCTCGCTCCCTGGGAAGGCTTCACCGACCTATACCGAGACCTAACCATGCGTGGTGGCATGAAGCACAACGAGGCTTTCCATAAACTAATCCTCACCGGATTCGCCGGTCACGGAACCGCAGAGAACATGCCCGCCATGCTAAGCAAACGGCCCTTCGACGACGCCTACTGGCAGAGCAAACGCATCCACACCGAACGCATCGGCGACATTCCCCTCTACATCCTCGCATCCTACTCCTCGATGCTACACACGCGTGGCTCCTTCGAAACCTTCCGAACTGCCAAAAGCACCCGCAAATGGCTCCGCGTACACCCATACCAAGAATGGTACGATCTCTACCGACCGGACATGGTCGACGACCTCTCTCGTTTCTTCGACCGCTACCTCAAGAACACACCCAATGACTGGGAAACCACACCACCCGTGCGCCTCTCCTTCCTAGGATTCGAAGGCAGCTCCGTGCCCACCATACTCGAACGGCCCGAGCAAACCTACCCATTGACCCGCCAGGAGCTCAAGAAATTCTACCTCAACGCATCAACCAAGACCCTCCAACCCTCTCTCCCAGACATAGTCACCTCAACAACTCACTCCGCCCGCCATGGCACTTCCGTACGTTCCATCCCACTCACTCCCCTACCCATACCCCCTTCCTTCGAACCCATCCTAACAAAACAACAGGACTTCACCCTCCACTTCCCCACCCCCACCCAATTAGCCGGGTACCCCCGCGTCCACCTATGGCTCTCCACCCCTCACCACACAGACATGGACATCATCGTGCAGATCCGCAAGATCTTCACGACCGGCGAACTCCTCGAACACCTCAACTACCCGTGTCCCGTGCCCGTCGACGCCGTCCCCAACGTCAACACAGCCAAGACGCTCGGGCCGCAGGGGTTCCTGCGTGCGTCGCACGCCATCACGCGCGACGAGACGCTCTCGACGGAGCATGAGATCGTGTATAGACATGATCGCGCGGAGATGATACCCGCCGGGAAGATCGTGCCGATTGATATTACGTTGTGGCCGATAGGGATGGTGTTTGGGGCTGGGGAGGGGATTATGTTGAGGGTCGCCGGGCGTGATTTGTGTTATCCGGAGGTGGAGTTTGATCATCCGGTGGAAGGGGAGGGGGGATCGGGAGGGGAGGGGGAGGAGCAGGTGCATGAGGTTCATTGTGGGGAAGGGTTTGATTCTTATTTGGTGTTGCCGGTTGTATAGATGATGATGGTGTGTAGCACAAGTGGGAGTGAGTGTCTCAGGATGGATATTGATTGCGTTTGCATGTATTTCAACCTGGTATAGTAGGGTAGGGTAAGCAGATAGGTAGGTAGATACAGAAGTGAAAGCTAAGCCTGCTTCTCCAACTGCCTCTCCAACTCCATAGCCTCCGCAAACGAATCCTTCCACGCCGTCGCCTGCTCCTCCGACGGCACCACACAGGGCCGTCTCGGCAACGCTCCATATCCACGGTACGTCTGCAAGGCACTCTTGACGGCGACGAACCCACCCTTAATCGCCTGCCAATCCGCACGCGCCACAATAGCCTGCAACCTCTGGGCCTCCTCGACCTGACCAGCCTGATACAGCTCCATGACACGCACACTCAACCTCGGGATTAGATTGGCCACGCCACCAATCACTCCATGACCGCCTGCCACCAGCGTCTGGAGCGTGAAATCCGCGGAGCCACCAAAGGTCAAGAAGCCCGGTTCAGCGGCGGCAGCAATGCGCGCCAATTTACCCGTGTTTCCACAGGTCAGCTTCACGCCGACGATGTTAGGGTGTTCCGCCAAGGCGAGGATGTCGTCTGAGGAGAGGTCCAGGCCCGAGGAGGCGCCGGGGAAGTTGTAGACCAGGATGGGGATGGGGGATGCGGAGGCGACGAGGCGGAAGTGGTCGAGGAGGTCTTTGGGAGAGAGGAGGGATTTGTAGTACGAGGGAGGGAGGATCAGGGTATAGTCGCCTCCGGAGGCGGCGGCGTCTTGGCACAGTTGGATGGTCTCGCGGGTGGAGGCGGCGCCGCAGCCGACAATGAGCGGGGCGGAGGGCGCGTGGGTGTCGAGTGCCTGTCGGGTGGTGGAGGTGATCAGGTTGCGTTCTTCACGGCTGAGGTGGACGGCTTCGCCGTTGCTGCCTTGCACGACGAGACCGGTCACGCCGGCTTGGGCGAGGTAGGTGGCGTGTTGGGCGGTGGTGGTGAGGTCGAGGTCTTCGTTGGGAGAGGTGAAGAAGGCGACGGTTGGGACGTAGATGCCGGGTTTGAGGGGGCGGGGGGTAATGGCCATTGTGGAGGTGGTGATTGGGTCGGTGATCAATCTGGGGTAGGTATGGAAGTATAGAGAGTGGTGGTGGATGGGGTGAATGCGGGGGAAGAGGAAGGAAGAGGAGAAGGAGAAGAATAGATGGAAAGCAATGAGGATGCCGTTGCCATGTTATAAGAAAAGTAAAAGAAAGCCAGTGGGTGGCTAAGAGGGGAAACAGTTCCAGTCAAGTTTGGAGAGAGTCGGACATTGAGCCGGTTGACTCCATCCAGACAGCGTCGAGCAGAAAACAATCCAGCCAAAAACCCCCACGCACCCCACACTCTTCTCCAGCAGATCCCCTCCTATGGCAAGTCAGGGTAGCTCCCACCCCCACGTCGTGCAGGGAGACATTATGGTAGAGGAATGGGGTAGGTGCCGGAGAATTGGTTCCTCGGAGAAATGAAAACTGAGCCCGGAAAAAGGGAGTGAACGGGATGGATATGGGATTGATGTGCTTCACGGGAGAAGTTGATGCAGAAGAGAAAGGAGAGGAAGAAGTAAATATGTATAAGTAAAGATGTATGTATGTATGTATGTATGCTAGTCAAGTGAGGTATCGTTGTGACAGGTATCATACACCATAACGGTAACACCGGTCCTGTCAGGTACTGAGACATACCTCCTGCGGTATCCGTAAAGATACAACTTTCACCTCCTCCCCAATCCGGAACATCATCCAGACCTGCAGCTGCGATTCTCGAGTTGCTTCATCCTACTAACTTCAATCCTCCGAATCGCCCCCGACTGGCCCTGACATGCCGTGCACGCATCCCTCCTGACCTCTTTTCCCCCCCACGTCTCAATTCCTCTCTCCCCCCTCAATCCTCCCGAATGACCTCCACCACCCTGATGCCTGTCCGTGTCTCCCTGCGACGAGATCCTCACCACGGCCATTCCCCCGACCAGCCGGACTCCGAGCCACCAGCAAAGCGAGCTCGTCTCCAGACTCAATCGTCATCGCGTCGTCGCAAGAGCTCCCCCGATCTGCTGGACACCACCACGACGGAGAACTCATCCTCCTCGGCTGCCACACCCTACAAACTCTCGTCTCATCATCCCCTGCGCCGGCGGACCTCGACGCGCCGCCCGCTGGCCAGCAATAATCCCACCTCGTCGTCACCGGCCACTCCGCGACCCAATCCCCGTCGCATACTCCGCAATGATTCCACCCCCACGATCACATCATATTTCCTTCCTGTCGGTCGCGAATCGCCAGATCCATTAGATACCATTTCCCCCTCCGCGACGGCCAACTCGTCGGTCTCGCGGAGGGTCGCCCCGGCGGGGACACCCTCCGCCGTCACCACCGCCGCCTCCTCTTCCGCCCGTCGCCCGCGCCGCTCAGCTGCCGCCGCTGACCCTGAGCCTGAGGCAGCTGCAACGCCTATACAGCAGCCCACATCGGCCTCGATCGCATCTAAACCCTCTCAGCCTGCCCCGGATGCGACCCCACAGCAGCCGACAGTTCCGACCGAGCAGCCCTCTACCGGGCGCGAGCAACGGCGCTCCCTCCGCTCCCATGATGGTGGCTCCCGCGCGCGCAGCGAGCTGGCGCTCTACTTTCCCAACTACGAGGAGCTCCTCAGTATGGAGCCGCCAAAGACCGGTAAGACTGCAGAAGAACATGCTTGATTAACAAAATGTTCGGCTGACAAATTGGCCTGCATAGAGTTTCTTGCGGGAAATACCACCATCAAACTCCTCGACGACCTCCCCGAACCGCTCATACCATCCTCCGATCCCATTTCTGATACCGATACACCCTTTGGAAACCCTCTCGTGAACCTCCACAACTGCGAAACAATCACCCTGCCCGATCCTTCTACCTCCCCTCCCATACCTCCCACCACCGAAGATTCCACTACAACCTCTCCCGACCCTCTTAGCGAGGAAACCTACTTCCGCCCGCACCGGCGCAATGAGCGACAAGAAAAGCAACTGCGCAACATCGAGCGCGACCGCGCCCAGCACGAAAAGCAAAACTTAGACCGTCTCCTGGATGACCTCCAAGGCCACGACTGGCTGCGCGTCATGGGAATCACCGGACTGATCAGCGACCCGGAGCGCAAACACTTCGAGTCCAAACGCACCTACTTCATCCGGGAGATCTCCGCCGTCCTGCAGAAGTTTAAAATCTGGAGGGAGGAAGAAAAGCGCCGCAAGTCAGAAAAGGACAAACCAGCCGAGGAAGAGCCCGTCCCACCCACCACCGCTAGCAATAGCAAAAACGACCACTCCCCAGAGACAACAGCCACATCCACCAACGGCGACGCAGAAGACGGCACCACCCCGTTATCCGACGCCCAAAGCTGCGGCGGAGATCCCCCAGACCCCAACGACGTCGACGCCTGGGCAGCAAGACAACTACATCAGGAAGCAAGATCCGCCACTACAACAACCACAGCAAACCCCACAAACCCTACCACCACAAGTACCTCAACGGGCAAGAAACTAACCAAACCCTCATCCTCCACAAAACACAAAGCCACCGCCTCCAACATAGCCCTTCCTCCTCCTCCTCCACCACCACCACCACCACCACCAGCAGAAATATTACCCCCCGAACCCACCAAACCCTTCACCTCCTTCTACTCGAAACCCCATCTCCGCGAACTAGCCCTCGCCGGACCAACCCGGAAAGGTCGAACCCGCTTAGCCTTCGGACAACCTATTCCCGAGATTGAAGAGCGCGAGTTCGAGCTCCCCGCGGAGATTCTCACGCCCGAGGCGATCGATTCGTGTCGACGGAAGAGGCGAAGGATGAAGAGAGCGAGTGGACGGGGGGAAACGGGGTAGATTGCATGATTGCATTAGATTACTGGTGTTCTGTTTCCCTTCTTTCTACCTATGAAGAGGGACTTTATTGGAGTGAGTGGGTATGATTTGGTTTGGTTTGGTTTGGTTCGGTATGGTACACTATGGATGGCGTTGAAGAGTGGTTTGTTTCATTCTTTCGATTCACTTTTCTATTTTCTTTTATCTTCTATTTCTCTATACTTTTACTTTACTTTATCTCTTAGGGTCTCTTAGTTCTGTCGGTGGACGGTTTACATATACCATTTTATTCATTATTTCTTATCACTGCATCTCTTCCTATTTCTGGAGGTTACTTTCCCTGAGACTTTGTTGTCGTTCAAGTCGGATACAAGGTTGTGTTATATCTGCGGCATTTAGTACTTTGCTTTGACGCATGGTGGGACTGGAGTTACGTTCATGGTCAAGACACTGGAGTCGGTTGGCGTTAGTCTCATGCTTGTCATGCTTTTTCTCGATGTCGATCATGCGCATAATGTATTTACAAGTTTATATACAAGACTCCATCTTGTTCATACCAGGACATCATAACGATCGTAACCAAGGTCGACCCTCAAACGCCATATTCCCAGTCTATCGCGAGCAAACAGACAATTGACATAACCTCATCACACATTAGACAGTACTCATGCAGGTGAAACTGGCATGGTGGGGATCGTCGTGGATGGCCTTTCCGGAGACATAGAGCCCGAGACCGCACTGTATATGTGAGTAGACTGGTCTGGATCAGTGGAGGATATACATACCAGACAACATCCAACTGCCAGAGCAAGCAAGTTGACAGCAGAAAGGGCGAATTTCTTCGGAGACGAGAACCATCGGCCAGAGTTCATGTAGAACCAGAAGATCGCGCTCAAACCGAAAGTGAACCAACTGGCGAAGAGCGCAGTCTGCATATTGTTAGACTGTCCTTGCCTTGTACAAGTGCAACTGGGACCAGGGTGTAGGACATACAACCAAGCTCAGCAATTTATTGAACACTGGAATCGCTTCCGCAATGATCCAGGCGAGCACCCACAGTGTTAGGACAATTGCGGTCCAAGAGCCCACGGCAGTCCAGGTGCGCTTATGCATGTGGTCAGTGCCACGGAAGATACGCACATAGACGGACTTGGCAGACACATGTCCGTTGATAACGCCGGCGATGATGATCTGTATGGTTGTCAGAAACCAGCAATGTTATACGAAGTTGCAACATACTGTCGGAAGCGCAATGCCATAAGCAACTTTGGACACAACCGTGCTGGCGGAACCCAGTGCGGGAGAAGTAACTGTGGATCCCCCATAGCAGTAGATGACGACGGCTGCAACGAGATAGAGGGTCATATCGACGCTCTGCAACAGCATCAAGGCTTTGGGATAGTCGGCTGGATTTTTCAATTCCGCTGCAAGGCTAAAGAATGCAGCATGTCCAGCTATAACAGGATTAGCTTGACAATCAAAGCGACTTAGGCAGCGGATACTAACAAAATGCAAAGACGATATTGGCCACCGCGGTGAAGCCGTGGATTAGGTCGGTTCTGACCGTTGCTTCAATTACCTTCCCAGGGTGTGAGATACCCACCCCGATCATTGTGATGAACACAGATGACAAGATGCTAATGAAAGCTGGCTATAGTCAGCGTCGCTCTGCACGATAACTACAAGTTTGGGTTGCTTACAAATTAACGAGAGCCAGGACATCTTTTCCAGAGTGCGCGGCAACGAGCACGCGAAAGAGACAACCAGGCCCACCACTCCAAAGACGATGGAGCACGTGCCATGGTCAGTCAAGGCATTCATGGCAATCGTGAAGGTTAGCAGGTGGCTGGCCATGATGAAAATGAGGAAGATGATCTGGGCAAATCCCAACAGCTCACGGCCAAAGCGGCCAGCAAGCACCTCACCCGCATCAGCCATGTTGCAAACGTGCGGATACCTCCACTTGAACTGGCCGATCACATAGCCCGTGTAGGTGGCCAGGCCACCCAGGCAGACCAGGATAATCACCGAGCTGGAGGTGGTGATGTCAGTGACAGATACCTCACAGAAGGTCGCATGCACCTACGGGACTAAACCCAAGCCGGCAACGGCAGCAGGCAAGGACAGCACCCCCAGGGAGACTGTTTCAGCCACCATGAGCAGGCCGCATTGCCTAGGAAGACGTCAGGAACAATGTTGAGATATGTAGTACAATGGCTTGCATACCACCACTTGAGGACCTTGTACTTGACCTCCGCGAACTCTTCATTCCCAAAGGCATCTTGTGTCTGCTGAAGAGCGAGGTCTTTGTTCTCTCCGACTTCGAGAGAGCTCTGTTCAGTCGACACTTCCTTCTCTTCCCACAGCTCCTGGTCGGCCACCGTGGGGGGTGCCGGATAGATCTCTGAAGATCTCATGATGACGGCGTTACTGCTCGAGCAGAGTACAGAACGAAGTGCTCGAGTTGTAGCACTTGAGCCCGTACAATGGAGAAAGAGACAGGCTCCCTGTTGACCTCAGCCTGCTCGTTATAACTATGAGGAAGGAGAGGAGCTGCGGAAGGAGGAAGAGAGAGAAAACAAAGTGATTGCCTGGAGGAGCCGAGTTAAAGGCACATTGCAAAGAAATTGCGTTATTGCCATGGAGCCGCACGACCTTCCGAACAGCCAGCCTCGTTGGGGGAGGGGGGAGATGTTCAGGATGTCGCATGCATGCGGTGGAGACACTCGAAGACGTAACCCAGACTTGCACTTGCCGTGAACCACGGCTTTCCCGATTCTGCAGGAATCCGATCCACCATGATTTGACAGTTAAACTTCCGCGGGTATCAATCTATCCCTTCCTTGAGGTCATCCAGAACCGAGCTGCAAGTTCAAGTGTCACAATGCCGGGCAACACCGGCAGGAGAACATCAGGCACTGCCTTGATTAAGCATGATTGTGGCATTGCTCGTGATAAGTGTGATACATGGCAGTGTAATTTTGCATTGGAAAAGGGATTCCTCAGTCGATTCCAAGAATGCCCAGCCTTTCCACTTCCTGTTTGAGGGCTGCCTGTGTAACCCTGCCGGTCCCAGGGTGACTTCTGGTTGGCCCGTCAGCCTCGTTGGAGATCCAACGTTACACTGGCTTATCGAACGGATGCGACGGGCTGTTCATCCGCTTTACTACTTCCTACTTATTTACTTGTTCATACTCGCCATTGTATCTCGATTGGGATACCTTGCTATGATTAATCTCGTTAATGTTGGCTACTTAAGCTTCAAAGGAGCTCAAGAACGTTCTCAACATGACATAAACCGCTCTCAACAAGACGAGGCATTTTACACCCTCGAATTCAGCTCAGGTCGCCATTGCATACCGCTCGTCATCAGTAATGTGCTCAGAGAATCCGGATAAAGGCGGAATGGAATCACGCTTTTTTAATCAATTGGTCATGGAAACTCATATCCTCAGTTTCTCTTACATGTAAAATTTCTGCTTTGCGGGGAATATTACTACTCACCCCACAAGTATTATCCCTCATGGCTGGGGTAGAATTGATTTACTAGTCCAGGATTTGATTCAGAATTGGCTTCCTCGTGTCCAATGGGCGTCGACCATCCCCTGATCTGGAAAAGTTCGTGGATGCAGGGACCACATAAATACCATCCCCGCCTCTAAGCGTTACCCCGTGTTCGCCAGAAATATCCGGGGTAGCTGTGTTAGAAACCCGGCTAGCTGCGGACAAGATGTCTTGTCATTGCGGGGTTTGTATACACTGCTATCATTAAAGGACTGCTGTAGATAGGCACATTTTTGTGTGTTAATGCAGAAGAAACGAGGTGGATGGTAGTTAATAGCAAAAAAAATCGAACAGTATACTTCCTTGTTGTGATGTACCTATTGAGAGTAAGATAGACCACCGACCTGAAGACGTTGATGTTTATGGGTGTGCTACTGTCCCAGGGCCCTACTAAGTGCTTGTTTCGATTGATAAGGGATGGTATTGCATAGGCTAGGCCTGTTGAAGGGTGACTTCCCGTTTCGGCAATATGTTTTCCGTCTATTCAAGTAGTCTCTGGGACCAAATGGGTATTAACTATCATCTCCCCTCATACCTTCTGTGACAATCTTATCCCTTTCTCTTCATCATTCTCATGCCAAAGGTGCCATGCGGCTCTTTACAAGTTCAGATAAGACCCCCGTGGAACAGGGCTACCTTCCAATTGAACTATCACAACAATTCATCCGTCAAAACCGCTCTCCACCGCTCTTCTCTACCATCGAGAGCAGCTCGCAACCTGACTGCAGCGTTATATACCTTCAAAGAAGCATCCATCTCGATACTACTCTGCAGGAACACGAGACAGCCAGCCAAATATCTCGGAACGACCCGAATTGCAAACTACTATCTGGACTGCATCTACCTACCACGTTATGAGCATAGAAACCTGGAATGAAAGACCGAATGATCGAAACAACAATGTTCTCGTCCCCATTACGGTAGGACAAGCTCTGTTCTTCGCTGCCACACCGTGTGTTTTAATGTTCCTGCCTGGGTTTGGAAAGATTTATCCCACCTCACTCTTTCCCTTGACAAAGAGATGAGGGTGACTTAGCATTAATGATATGTTATGAACAAGGACTAGTAGTAGTAGTGTTAAGCCAGATTCACCACTATGTTTGGGCTATACCTTATCACCTTGAGAGCTAGATAGCTAACTGATAGCAGTTACTAGATACCAACATCTCAGCATCAAGTGTTTCCACGCTCCCTCGGCCCGAGTCCCCGATAATCAACTCAACACCAGGAAGGTCCTTCCAGGCGCTAATCTTCCAGCAATGGCAACCATGAGTAAGCAGCTGGCAGACCTTCCCAAAACGGCAAAATAAGACGCCAATTGCCCGCTCGGCCACCTGACTCGGCTCTCGCCAGTCTGATTGCAGTTTTGACTCTGGTCTGCACGATGCGAGTCCCCAAGCACAATCTGGAGTGGTGGGCTAGACTCCAAGATCCACCATGTGTTCCTCACCGACAGATAGAGAGGCAAGCTGCCACACCTCGGGGGAACTTCGGGTTTACCCCACCATCAAGCATCTCATAAGCTGGGGTCGGATTCTTAGGTAGCCGCGATTACCTGCTATAGAGCTAAGCGACAGTGGAGCTAGTTGCTGCTGCCAAGGATTACGGTTGCTTTCTCTCGTATATAAGTAATTGGCTACTCCAGTGCGCGGCTGCCCTTCTCAACGCGACTTGTCAATTCAGTCAATCAACAATATGGGCGACCACAGAGAAGCTGGACATGGCAACTACGCTCAGGATGAAATCGCTCCGGCTGATGAGTCTACGTTCCTCCTTCCCAAGGATGTCGGAGATGTTAAAAGCAAGATCCTCAGTACCAACTTTGCCGCATTGATGGCCGGGCTGAACGGTACATTGCCCCGCCCCCTGTAACTCGCTTGCGATAGCAAACCGAAGCTGACAGTAGAATGGGCCGACCATAAAGATGCTGCATTGGGCCCTCTGATCCCGTACATACAACCGACTTATGATGTTGGTCTTCTGCAGGTGTCCATCATCTACCTAGTCAACTTTGTGGGTTGGGTTGTCGCCTCATTCGCCAATATTCATGTCTGTTCCCATATAGGAACGGGCGGTACACTGGTCCTGGGAGCAACCATTCAGTGTCTCGGCTATGCCTTGATGTTCTGGAGTCCGCCTTTCCCCCTCTTCGTGGCAGCATTCTTCTTCACTGGTTGCGGCGTAGCTTTCCAAGATGCCCAGATGAACATGTTCACTATAACTGTCAAGGACGCCCATCGGTGGCTGGGCATTTTGCATGCCGTGTATGGCGTCGGAACCATTCTCGCTCCATTGATCGCCAATACGATTGCCTCGAGAATGCCAGTCTGGCACCACTACTACCTTGTGACCATGTTGCTCGGCGTACTAAACATCACATCTCTGGTCTGGACCTTCAGAAAGGGGCTCTTCCGTCCGAATGTGAGCAATGCGAAGGAGACGGCCGGCAAGGAGCTTCGAGAAACAGTGTCAAACAAGACTGTGTGGATATTCAACGGCTTCTTCTTTTTGTACGTTGGCGCGGAGGTGACTGCTGGAGGTACGTTCTTCCACGACTGGAGGCAGCTCCTTGCTGACGTGTTTCAGGTTGGCTTGTGCAGTTCCTTGTTTCGGTGAGAAATGGCGACCCTACCAAAGTAGGATATATTGCGTCCGGCTTCTGGACCGGCTTTACCTTGGGCCGTGTTGCTTTAGCGGATATCACGCATCGCTTGGGTGAACGGCGCATGGTATTCGTTTATACCGCGTTGGCTGTGGCAATGCAGCTTTTGTTCTGGCTAGTCCCAGACATCACTATCAATGCAGTAACAGTGTGTTTCCTGGGTGAGTATGCTCCATCCCAGCGCGTTTGCGAGACACAAGGTACGCCACTGTACGAACACTGCTAATAGTTGGTACCAGGTTTCTTTATCGGTCCTTTCTACCCAGTTGGACTCTATGTCCTCACCAAGGTCATCCCAAAAGAACTTCACGTGGGAGCAATGGGTAAGTAGTTGGCATTCGAATGTGGATTTGCTCATGCTGATCATCAACAGGATTCACTGCCAGTCTTGGACAGGCCGGGTCCGCTGCATTCCCTTTCTTAACGGGAGCGGTGGCCTCCCAGGCCGGCGTCCAGGTTTTACAGCCCATCATGCTGGGGCTGCTCATTGGAATTGCCATTTTCTGGTGCTTCGTCCCTAGACAGAGACCAATCACGCTTTAAGTAGATGTAGAAAGGCCATAGTGGCGCTACATTTGAGATGCGGCGCTATAGCCTACGCGTCGGTAGTTTTGCTATGTTGATAAATAACATTTCAATCCTTGGACCGATGTGGTTTGATGAAGATATGCTGCTTCCATGAATATCACGAGTGTCATGTTCTCAATGAAGTTGAGAAGCATTTTCACTTCGCAGCTGATCGTTCAAGCACCCTCTCTAGGCGCGCGTCTGGACCACAACATAGATGGCAAATCGTACCCTATTTACAGGGTGTTTGCACCGTCGATGCATATGATCAAAATGCCACATCATTTGCTCTTGCTTCATCAAAGACAGCACTAGTCAATAAGTGAATTAGCAACAGAACTTAGAATAAAATTCAAGTCCAATAAGCAGCAATACAAGTAAGCTCAGAGAGAAGATTAAAGTCGACATAGCCTTACACATCCGCAGATGGTATGGCGCTCCGACTAAGGATGACTGATACGATGTTTTCATCATGTGGGAAGCAGAATAGCAAGAAAGCAAACAAACGGTGGAAAGTAGACTTACCATGTCAGAAGGACCAGCTGATGCGTGTGACTGAAGCACCCTAGAATGTCGGATAGACAGATGTGTCGACGGTGTCTCCAGCAGGGCGCAGAAACCAGAACGGTTAACCGCACCACATATACCTAGGCAGGCAAGCAGGCAGATAAATATGAGGCAATCACATAAAAAACCACCTTAACTCTCAACCTCTGATCAACCTCAACCTCAACCTCAATCATCATACGAAATGATCCTCCTGCCTGTAAACTGCGGCACAGGCCTAGAAGCCGCCTTCGAAGTCGTATTCGAAGCAGAAGCAGAAGCACCCCCATCCCCATCCCCATAATCCATCTTCACATCCGCATCTTCTTCCCCTTTTGCCCGAGACTTGCTCGCTTGTTCTGTACCAGCTGCATCTGATCGTGCGTTTGCGTCCGCATCTGCAACTACGGCACGCTCTGTTGCTGCTGCTGCATCCGCCTCCTCCTCCTCACGCAACTCCTTCTCCCTCCTCAAGGCATGGATTTCACTATGTCTGAATATGCGGATTTGTTCGTCCGTGAGCGTGCGTTTCACGCCGTCGGGGTAGTAGCCTAGGTCTTCTTCTTCTTCGTAGTAATCGTATTCTTGGTATTCTTCTTCCAAGGTGTATTGTTCTTCGGGCTGGTTGGTATTCGTCACTTGTTGTGGTTGTGGCTGTGGTGTTTGGGCGATGATGCTCCCCGGGAAGTGTTTTGCTTGGAATGCGTGGAGGTCTTCCTGTGGGGGTTAGGTATTTGCACATTTTGGTTCTTCTGGGGAGGATAGCGTACGATGGTAATGGGTGGTGGGGTGATCAGGGACATTTTGGAGGGTGTGGGATGATTTTTGTTGCTTAAGGGAAAAGAGTGGATTGAAGATGAATTTGAGGAAGAAGATAGCTAGCTAGGTAAGCTAAGCTACGCGTGTTGGGTGTGGGTTAGCGGTTTGTGACGTGCGTGGGCGGGATGTATTGTATTGTATGGGACGGATGAATGTTACGGGTGGTTATGTTGGTGTGTACACAGGATGGACTTTAGCAGTAGGAATAATATATGAGATTGCAACTTAGCCAAGTGGATGTGCTCTGGTTTTTGAAGGTACTATATTCAATGATTGAGAGGTTTGGTGTTTGTATTCAGCAATTAGAGAGTGGATTTCATTTGGGTATTGCCGTTGATGGAATATATATTCATGTCTCTTATGACCAGTAGTAGCACTGTTAGTAGCTTGGTCGACAGACAGACCATCAATGACAATTAAGTAAACTACTAAGCTGCTCAGGACACGGTGTCTAGTCGATGACCGTGTAGATACTTAGTAGCTTGAGGTTCTCAATTTTAACGACTTTCTGGTGGTGTCAATAGGTTATGCTGTCGTTGATCCAGGTAAAGTATATGAGTTCGGTGAGGTAGGAGAAAACAACAATCCACCACAACGGCACAGGCTACAATATTGCTCATGTGATGCAGTTATTACAATATAGTATGTGAGAAAGTTATGCACTTCTAGTAGTTACTAGTATATCTGTCATGAGAAATCTAGTAGTATGGGAATAGCCGATGTATATCCGAATTCCACCGTGTGGAGTAATAGGCCGGTGATGATATTTCGTGCCCAGTTTCTAGTAAATATACATATTATGAGCCTGGAATCGAATATAACCAATAACAGGTTAGGTCTATAATATACTAGAAGACGAGTATTGCTGGAAGAGTCAGCGCTAATGTTCACCCACCCACCAACCACAGTATTCCAGTGAAATCTTTTATCTATGTACACTTCTATGTCTATTTAATTTCAATCATCTACTGCAGCGGTATACTAGAAACATGATTCCCAATTTTCACCTTGACACAATCAAACCGCACCTTCAACTCACGTACCCTACGCAAATCCACACCTCCGATCAGCTCCCTCTCTGCAGACGACAGACCCGTCAAGCTCCATGCCAACGAGATATGGAAGCAGTGAGAGTAATCAGCCCCAGACTGGCCAGACTCACTCGACACCCGTGGCAGTGTCATACCACCACCATTTGACTTCCGCTCAGCCGCCACATCCTGCGACGACTCGTATAAGGGAAGCTGTTCAAACCGCGCCAGGGCTCGATTAGACAGCCGAAGAAGACGATTCAGATTATCTTCCTCTGGCTTTTCCGCACGTAAGACATAGAACCACCGCGTCTTCTCGTAATTTGAGACACAGTCGAGGCTATTTGTCGAGACGTTGAACCTTGCACAGCTTGTCAGCATGATGAGTTGATCGATCACAAGACTAATAATCCCAAGAAAATAAGCAAGTCAGCTACTTACGTTGGAATTTGCGACTCTTTCAGCTGAGACTGAAACATGTCCAAGAATGACTGTCGCTGTTCTGTCCGTAGCACGACCGGTCTAGACAAACTAATGTGGAGGGGCAGTTGCGCGCCAAGATCACTATGTAGTAGGCTGTGGAGCTGAATCGTGCTTCCATCGAGCCTATCCTTGATCTGCACTATGACATCGCTAAGAATAGAAAGCTCATCTTTGGATGGATACCCTGTAGATTGGTCAAACGGGTGTTATTTCCGTTCTCGAGAACCTAATTACTGCCAGAGGATGCTGGTGGATGACACATACACTCCAAGTAGATGTGGGTCGGCCAGTTCCCTTCAACATGGGGAATGACCCTTTTTCGGCCTCCGTGGAGACTGGGGTCGTCGGTCACGCTGACACGAGTGCTGGAGGCATAGAGATCGTGAAAAGCGGCTGGTAAGGGTGGGAGTGAGGAAGATGGATTGTTGGCGGCTTGACGGGGCCTTTTTGCTGGGGGCTGAGGGGGCTCGTTCTCTGCTTCGGATTCAGATTCAGAATATTGCACCAAAGCCATTACAGGGTCAGGGACATTGGTTGGAAGTGGTCATCCAGGATGAATTTGGTGGCCGCAGTTGGAGTAGTAAATTGTTGTTCCATCGGGTCGGCATGGTGGAGCCGGGCTGTCCGTATTGAAACTCTGCTTTTTACGGGTAGGGCTGCCAAGACTCGCCAGTTGGAGCTGGAAGGGGTTCTAGATTGGAGTGGACTTTTAGCAGATGAACAGAACACATCATGGTTTTGATTCTGAAGAATGATCTGTTGTGAGATGCCTTTTTTTTTTTCTCTCGATTACTTTTATGGTGGCTCCAAATGTCTACTCTGTATGCTGAGGCGTCCGTCTTACTGTCTCAGCAGAGGTCAATAGGGATCGGAGCACAAGGGACCACAAGGTGAGCGAGGACAATAGCGAGATACTTCATCGACTCTTTGTTTGTTAGCATTAATTATTGCCCAGAAGACTCCGTAGCAGCAGGGGTACGGGCACATATTGGATGGATTACGTCGAAGCTTGTTCGCATTATCCATGTCACCTCGCAAGGGTTGGGGCTCCTATCCATGGATGGACCTCAGCCCCCCCCTGACAGGGAGAGAAAGTAGACCGAATGTACCTGGCAATATGCGTTCATTACACCTGGCTCGTTTCTAATTATAAGCCTGCAATACTTCTAGTCCCTGAAGGTTCGTAGGACAAATCTAGACCCTGTGTAACACATTCTCCATGCACTGGGTCGCCCATGCAGACCGTCGCAGGCTAACATGCGATGCGGACCATCAAATTACTTTGTGCGTGGATGAGTGTGTAACAGCAACTCGTAGAAGCGCCTGTCAGAAGCATGCAGATGTTAATACTGGCGCGTGCTTTTTAGTCGCAAACCAAAACTTGTTTCAAGACTAGCAGGGCTAGATCCAGCCCGCCGTTGGCGCTATCGTGGTCACTAAAGATAAGCTTAAAGACGGAGCTGGAGCTCACTCAGCATAGTGGGTATTATTCCGTAGGTCACTATTTAACTTAATAAAATAATCAAGTCAGTACACCTCCCGTTAAGATACTCAACCTGTTTCTTTCAAATGATGTAAAAAAGAATGCCAGAAGGAATTTGCAGGATGTCGCAGTCAGTTGGGGTTGGGAAGTCTGGTGGTTATGATGTCAAGACTCCAATTGCAGAGGAAGTTGGTGCAAATGATTTAGTCAGCCGGTGGATGGTGGCCCTGGGCATCCACAGCTGACGACGACACGACAATCATGACGGTGAGAATTGCCACTGCGACTCCACTAGAATCCCTCAGGGACCTTCTAGAGGTTCCATGGTGATTTACTAATATCAGCCTGGGCCATCCTGACTGGTTCTTCAAGTCTAGAACCGGGAGGGGCGGAGGGGAAGTGCCCTGGGGCCCGAGCCTTCCGCGCACCTACAGAATGAGGGCATTCAGTGCAAAGTCCTAACTAAGACCCGACAACAGGAGATGTTGCCCAGGTATTTTCATCATCGAAGAGTACATCCGATGCAACCGAACCGGTCTAGTCTTGACCGTACGTACTCATTTGTAGTAGACTCTAGCCTTATCGATAAAGGCGTAATAGTACAAACCCACCCCCGGATCGCGTGGAAGCAAAAGTGAGCAAATGGAAAAGCAATGCGGCGCTACTCGTCACGTCACGGTCCACCGGTTCGGCTTTGCACTTGCATGACCAGCGATGACCAGAGCCTAAATAATCATGATGAATTATGAACTCTCCCCTCTGCTCTTCTCGCCTCTTTTACTCTCCTTCTTGTCCTCTTCCTCTCGTCCTCTTCATACTTCTTCCTACTACTCCCCATCTAACAACCAAACCACTACCTTGCAAACCAACTTATACTACTTACTCTCTCATACTTCCAAACCTACTCTGCCACACTCATAACCACACAGACCCGCAGCTTCAACGTTACTCCCCAACTCTATAATCAATACCCGACTTCACCGCTGCTAAGCCCCACCACTCTTTTGAGTTACGGGCTGCAGACGCAGGCAGTCACTAGTAGGCAATACTATTAAACGCCTACATACATTTATAGGGCATCCCGTTGTCCCTATATATACCTAACTCTCATCCTCCAACTTTGAGAGGCATCCTCATCTCTGGATTTCTCTCCTCCCTTCGTATTTTCACTTCTTCCTCCGGCGTCCAGTTACTATGGCGTCCGCCGTTCTCCCAGTCTGTGCGACCCCATACCGGGCCTCTTACTCCCATCGGTATCCTTCCAACCTGATGGACATGGGCGTTGAAATGGATTCGTATGGATCCTACCAACGCTTCCACTCTCCCTCTCCCAGTCGGCGGTCCTTGAACCGTCAGCGCTCTACGTCTTTCCCCTCCGTCTACTATTCGGGCTCTCCGGAGCATCACCCCGTCGAGCCTCGACGGAAGAAGGAGAGTAGTTCTCGGCGCCGTCGTCATGGCAGCCCGTCGAACCCTCAGCCAGCCAGATACTCGAGGAACTCGATGCTGGTCAATCCAGACGTCATTGATCGTCTGGACAGCGCGAGTCTCTGCCAGTACCATCACGAGGGGCCCTACGATGCTGTCTATGCGGAGAGGAACTACCACACCAAGCAGAGCCCCGTCGAGGCAGTCAAAGATTCAACTGCGGAGACCTTGAAGGCGACTCCGAAAGATAAAATTAGGGACTGCATCGATAGTCACCGTCCTCTGGACGGAGTGGCTTATTACCCTCCAGGTCACACAGACATGGAGGGCCGCACCTACGAATACGAGGAGGGGCCGAACATGATGAACGACTATGGAAACTTTATGCGTTGTCCCGGTCAAGTAAGTTCCTGATTTGCTGTGCACTGATTTGCAACAAGCTCTAACATCCTTCTAGAAATTCACCGATGAGGATTTCAAAAAGGACCCCTTTTACAATGCACCCCACCCCAAGCCATTCGCCTCGCTCCGGAAAGCGCTCAGTATCCGTCGTCGCAAGCGCAGCGGAACTTCTTAAACCAGTTCATTTGGACTTGTGGTATACGGCCGCACTACAACATGCATTTGCGGTTGGTTCGTCTATAAGACCGCGTCTCCCTGATGGAGCAGCGAGAGTTGGTGTTGGGTTTTGATGATTTTTGGAGCGTATTTTTCCATATGTATTTTATTTTACCATGATTCCCCTGCTACACCGGTCATGACCTCGGTGATTACGGTATGACATGATGTGTCACGCTCGGAGTTGAAGCCTGGAGTATCACGGTGGAAGGCGTTCATGGTTGCTACAGCCCCCTTTGATGGGTTTGAATTGGGAATATCCATGGTTGTTCTTACTTCTGCTGTCTGACAGTCAAATTTGACGATCTACAATCTGCCACTGCTCAATAAACACTGTAGAGTGCATACAGCGTAGTCATTTGTCCCCCATACGGAGCCGCGTTAGCGTAACAATTCATCCAGTGTGTTGTATTGCACACTACTAAATATACTACTCATACTCCTATCTGGAACAAGTAATCTGCGAGACATGCATCTGACATGTCCTAGAGCCTGCGGAACCTGTATGACTTCACGTCAAAGCGCATGGCATAGTTACTCGACCTACTACTAGTAATTATCCCTTATCATTTTGTATATTTACTTACTCAGCGTAATAAGAAAAGTAACTAAACCGATAACTAAGTGATTTCATTCTGGAAGTTACTAATAGCTTGAGCATCAGGCATCATCATGTACCGTGACCGTTATAGCACTCCATGTCGCTCCTGACGCCCCTTAATCTTACCAACACGGCCATGCGACAGCATGATCTTGGTCTCATTATCCCAATCCGTCAGCTGATGCAAGGACATTAACGTTGCGAGTTGCGATCGCTGAATAAACCACTATATTGAAATCCTTGTGAAGTACCGAGCCAACCCCCCAAAAATAACAGCAAAGAGAACAAAGACAGAAAGTCGATTTGTAAACACTTTCTATAAGGTATAGGCAGATATATCTAGACTACCGTGGATCATCGCAGTGGGGAGCTGTCTGAAACAAGGGTTTTTGTTGGCGGCGATAAGCCGGCGGAGATGGAATTGATTTGATGACTATTGATGACTACTTGCGGATCATGCAACTCCGCGCCACCAAGGACAACTTGTCCACTTCGCAACGGACATTCCTTGAATACTCAAGTCCCCTCGTTCCACCTGCTTCTTTATTCCCATCATTCGTTTTTGCTTCCTTTTGCTGCAGTTGGAATTGCATCACCTCTTGTGCAGGGAAATGTCATTTGGCCTGATCGCGATTGACCGTTGACAATCCAGGCCTCCCTTCCGTCGCTGATCTTCATGTGAAGGACCCTGCTTCTTGGCTTACCTACCATAACCTTCATTGCATAGCTTCACTCTATACACTCTGAGTTTCTGTCATACACTCCGATCCTTTCCTACGTTCTTGTCCACTCGTTTCCGCCGGTCTCCGGCCATCCCAAGATGCGCTCCGCAGCCAAATTTTTCTATCTGGCGGTATTTGCCCTGTCGAGGCTTTCCAATGCCGAGACTGGGCTGCACCATAACCAGGACAAGTGTGCGGTAAGTCGATACAACGCTCGAGCATGCGCCTTTGGCTGCATATTGAAGACCAGACTTGGCTGATCCATTCTCATCTCTACCAGATTGACCCCACTGCCATGGTGTCTGACGCTTGCGTCTCCTACGCCACCATCGATCATCTGAACGATCAAGTCTACACCCTCCTCCAATCCATTACGCAAGATACCGATTTCTTTTCGTACTACCGTCTGAACCTCTTCAACAAAGTCTGTCCGTTCTGGAACGATGCGAATAGCATGTGCGGGAACATCGCATGCTCCGTCAACACAATCGAGTCAGAGGACGACATCCCGTTAACATGGCGCGCGGAGGAGCTTAGTAAACTCGAGGGACCTAAAGCAGGCCATCCGGGCCGCAATCAGCGAAAGGAGCGACCTCTTAATCGACCGCTCCAGGGAATGTTAGGTGAAAATGTCAAAGAGAGTTGTGTGGTGGAGTATGATGATGAATGTGACGAACGGGACTACTGTGTTCCCGAAGATGAGGGTGCTAGCGGCAAGGGAGACTATGTCAGTCTCGTTGATAATCCAGAGCGGTTCACGGGGTACGCCGGTATGGGCGCTCACCAGGTTTGGGACGCAATCTATCGGGAGAATTGCTTCCTCAAACCGGTGCCAGAGCTGTCACCGGTGACCCCTCAGCTGGGTGGTCTTCAAGCGGTCAACGATTTCCGCCATGTGCTCCAGCAGGAGCTGAAGCGCCCCGACCTGCTTCCCTTGGACAACGAGTGTCTCGAGAAGCGCGTATTCCATCGTCTCATCAGTGGAATGCATGCGTCTATCTCAACCCACCTTTGCTGGGATTACCTCAATCAGACGACGGGGCAATGGCATCCCAACCTTCAATGTTTCAAAGATCGCCTCCACGATCACCCCGAGCGCATCTCGAATCTGTACTTCAATTACGCGCTGGTCTCGCGCGCCGTGGCAAAGTTGCAGAAACACCTACACAACTACAACTACTGCGTCAGTGATCCGATCCAGGATGCCATGACTAGGGAGAAGGTCTCCAAGTTGACCTCGACCTTGGCTGATCGTCCTCAAATTTTCGACGAGAACCTCATGTTCCAGGACCCCAGCGCTGCTGGCTTGAAGGAAGACTTCCGCAACCGATTTCGCAATGTCAGTCGCCTGATGGACTGTGTCGGATGCGATAAGTGCCGCCTCTGGGGCAAGCTTCAAGTGAATGGGTATGGCACCGCTCTGAAGGTGCTGTTCGAGTACGACGAGACCAAGAATGGCGAGAACCCGTTGCTGCGCCGGACCGAGCTGGTGGCACTGATCAACACCCTTGGTCGCATTTCTCACAGCATTGCGGCCGTCCGGAGTTTCCACCGGGCCATGGATGTGGGCGATGGGGAGGTCTTCACCATTCCCGCAAGCATTGCGTCCAAGGATCGCAGTGGCAAGAAGAAGACCCGACGACTTCTCAAAGACGGTGGCTCGACCTTCTACTACGAGGATGGCGATGATGACAACTTTGTATACATCACCGAGAAGCTTCCGTGGGAGAAGGTCCGAGTACGCCGCGACACGGATACGGCCTGGGACGACATGAAGGCCGAGCTCTCTATGATCGGGGACATTCTCGTCTACGTGCTGAAGAGCTGGGTCAATGCACCGAAGACATTGTAAGTGATGGCGCCCGATAACGTTCGCTGTTATTTCTGTATACTGACTAGGCATTGCAGCTTTGAAATCGCCGTCCTGGAAATCGCTCGGGTATGGAACTACTGGCTGGGTCTGCCTGTGCCACCACGGTCCTGGAGGATCCAGCTCCCCAAGCGACCCACCCCTCCGACACCCCCAACCCATGAGGAGCTTTAGACACTAGAAGTTGGGAGACGTGGAAGATGGCGGTGACTGGGATTGTATTGTATAACTAGCGTCGTGGAGGACTAATCTTTTTCCGATCTGTTTGGGCCGGCGTTGTTGACGATGCCTGTTGGGAAATCGCATCTCGGGAGTTCTGGGAGCATTTAGGCCGCTGTACATTTCATTTCATTTTCCAAGCAATGGGCCTGAGCATTTGATGGTGATATATTACATTCAGATAATTTGGACAGCAAATATGATATCCCACTCGATAGATATGAAGTAACTATCTACTGAATATTAATCTAACTACTTAGAGATAGATAAGTGGTAACTAATCATCACCGGGGACTTAACTCGGCAAGCGGGAAGCCTCGGTCCATCGGGACCACATGCGACCTTTTCTCCTCTTTTCTGGCTTTTTCTCCACCGCCTCCATCTCCATCGCCATCCATCGCCTCTCATTCACTCATTCATTCATCACATTCAGTCCATCCAATCCATCCAATCTATCGCCCGGGCTGTCTCTTTCTCCCCTTTCCCCTCTCTTCTTCCCCAGACTACTCTCACCCCCCAACCCCCCAAATCCTTCTTTCGCGCTATTCCCACCTCTCGCTCTCGCTCTCGCTTTGACTGGCCTCCTCTGTGAGGTCCATCTCCATGCGAGATTGCTGAGGTACCAAACCCCTCCCGCATATCCATGGCGTCCGTTTCGCCACCCAAACCGTGGGAGAGGGCAGGCGCTGCTGCTGGTATGTCCACAGCTCTCTTGGAACACAATACAACAATAAATCACATTTGCATCTGTTTGCATACTGGGTAGCTGACATGTCACTCACTTGAAGGGTCTCCTGCTTTGACAACATCATCGGCGGCTACTCCGACCGCCTCATCCGCGATGACGGCCAGTTCGACTACTCCGACCGCGGCCGCCAGCGCCTCGGCCCCCACAGCCACAGCATCCTCGACATCTACTGCTCCCGATTTACCGTCTCGTCCTAATACCCTGAATTCCGTTGTCAATCGCACCGCCTCCAATTATTCTCCCTACTCGGCCTCTCGGTTCGGCGCAAGTCCTTACGGCGGCTACGGAAGCTACTCGTCGCCGTACTCCCGCTTCGGCACCATGGGCTCCATGTACGGAGGCTACGGTGGCATGGGAGGCTATGGCGGCATGTATGGTGGTATGGGAGGCATGGGAGGGATGTACGGCGGGATGCCCGGTGATCCCAATGATCCCAACAGCCTGACGAATTCCTTTAGCCAAAGCACCCAAGCTACGTTTCAGATGATCGAGAGTATCGTGGGTGCGTTTGGAGGATTCGCTCAGATGCTGGAGAGCACATACATGGCGACTCACAGCTCCTTCTTTGGTACGTTAATACCTTTGTCTATGCGTGTTGCTGTCCTCTCACTAACAGTTGTCCAGCCATGGTCTCCGTAGCAGAGCAGTTCGGCAACCTCCGAAACACGCTTGGCTCCGCCCTCGGTATCTTCACCATCATCCGCTGGTTCAAGACCTTGATCGCGAAGATCACCGGTCGTCCCCCGCCGGCTGATGCCACCGCCCTCACTCCGTCCGCCTTTGCAGCATTCCTCAGCGGCCGCTCCTCCCCCGCCACCCTGCCGGATGGCACTCCCGCTCCCCCCAAGCCCTCTAAGAAGCCGTTCTTCATGTTCCTTATCGCCGTCTTCGGTCTTCCCTACTTGATGGGCAAGTTGATCAAGGCTCTTGCTCGGTCGCAAGAGGAGCGTCGCCAGCTGATGCTGGGTCCCAACGGGGAGCCCGTGCAGGGCCAGGGTGCACCGCTCGACCCTTCCAAGCTTGACTTCTGCCGTGTGCTCTACGACTATACCCCTGAAGCCCAGGAGAGCTCCGGCATCGACCTGGCCGTGAAGAAGGGCGACATCGTGGCTGTCCTTAGTAAATCCGATCCGATGGGTAATGCCTCGGAGTGGTGGCGTTGCCGTGCCCGTGATGGCCGCGTCGGATACTTGCCCGGGCCGTACCTGGAGACCATCCAGCGCCGCCCGCAACAGCAAGCGATCACCTCGGGCAGCGAAGCCGGCAGTCGCAGCAACTCGATGCAGGCGAGCGCGTCTGAGGAGATCGCCGCGGAGGCTAAGAAGCCCGAACTGAAGGGCAAGATGGGTGATATTTCGCCCGAGAGCTTCCAGAAGAGCGCTTTCTACTCATGAGCGTCATCCATCCATTAATCTCCCTCATACACATATCTATAGTATCATAGTTACACTTCCGACGCGCACACTCACCCGCACACCCCAGCTTGACTGCATGCATGCATGCATGTCTGTATGTTACGAACCACGCGAAGCACGTGGCAGGACCTAGGTTGACCGCCTGATGATGACTTATTACCATTACTTTTTTTTTCTTCTTTTCTTTTCTGTCCCCTATTGTTATTGTCGCCGGATTACCGGATTTGGATTGTCTAGCGTTGGGTACCTGGTATATGGGCATGTTTCCTTTTTCTTTACCTTCTTATTCTCTTCGAGGGATTGAGTCATCATTTTCCGGAGCATGTTTGTTTCAGCGCAAAAAAAGAAAGATCTCCTTTACTTTTCTTTCTTTTTTTTTCTCTCTTCCTTCCTTTTTCTCTCTTACCTATATGGTTATCTCATGCAGCGGGAACGAAATATAGTATATTCATCATCATCATCTACTATCTATCCACTTTACTTTTTTTTCACCTTGGTCTTTTTGTAAGAAGTACAATCGACATGTGGCCTACGTGCTCACTACCTATCCAATCCAGCATGCATACATAATTAGCAGTTAGTGAGACAGTTTGTGGCACACACTTAGTCATTCACCGGGCATCCCATCCCATCTGTCTAATTCGATATAGACGGAATAGTAGTAGCAGCAGCAGCAGCAGCAGCAGCAGCAGTAGTAGTAGTAGTAGTAGTAGTAGTAGTAGTAGTAGTAGTAGTAGTAGTAGTAGTAGTAGTAGTAGTAGTAGTAGTAGTAGTAGTAGTAGTAG